TTAAACGGGTAACGAGGCGGGGACGTGGCGGGAAATTGTCTAGCGGAGGCGGGGGAGGTTGCACCTCCCCGTTGCCATCGCTACTCGAACTTTATATTCATAATTTTAGCTCAAACCTCTAGTGTCAATATTAAAATAATTTGTAGACAAAGTTGAGATCATCGTATAATTTTGATTTCAAATTATTTATTTTCGTTTCAATTGTTTTTTATGGTGAAATCTTTTTGGTTTTGATGTGAATACAGCTTGTGAAGGAGAACCAATGTGGTCAGATTCCACCAGCGATCAAAATCAAAGAAACAGAAGGTATAATAGAGGAAGCAGTGACAACTACTCTAAGAAGGGCCATCAGTTTCTATTCTACAATTCAGGCTCATGATGGCCACTGGCCAGCTGAATCCGCTGGCCCTTTGTTTTTCCTCCCTCCTTTGGTAAATTTACCACCTATTTAATTCCACTTGAACATTTTCCCAAATCATAAATTGTGTGTCGAAGACTACATTTGAATAAATAAGCTTAAGCATCTATACAAGGTGATTCAATGTGCTACGGGAGCAGACGGGTTCTAAGTTCAAGTTTTTTTGGAAGAGATGGTTTAACAATGTGTGTTCATTGGTATTCTATACGTACATTTGTTACAACTATCGAAACTCAATTTTGAATTGTACAGGTCTTAGCCTTGTATGTAACCGGAGCAGTCAATGCTGTTCTATCACGAGAACATCAGAAAGAGATTATACGATACATATATAATCATCAGGTTAGGGTTAAACTGAATTTTTGATTAATTTTTGGCTTTTCTGGGATAAATGTTTTCGTTTTTATAATGCCTCTTTATTAGATTATTTTATTTTTCCGACTGGCTTTGAGGTTCACTAAATTAGTGTTGTGATCCCTGACAGAATGAAGATGGAGGTTGGGGGATACATATAGAGGGTCATAGCACCATATTTGGTTCTGTACTTAGCTACATTGCGCTTAGGTTGCTTGGAGAAGGACAAGAAGATGGTGAAGACAGGGCCGTAGCTAGAGGTCGAAAATGGATACTCGACCATGGTGGCGCTGTGGGGATACCATCGTGGGGAAAGTTTTGGCTCACGGTGAGATCAGGATTCCAAACTACTGCAGAAGTTATTAAAGTCGTTTGAAATCTATTTCAATCAGGACTCAAAAACTGCACTTTTATAAAAATAGATATAAATTTTACAATTCCACTTTGGTAGCCTTGTACCTGTAGATGTCTTATATGCTTTACATATTTTCTTTATATGTAGTTGTGTTGTCGTCAGATTAATAATTCGACGGAAAATAAGGCCTCCGTTTTCTCTTCCGCTATAGGTGCTTGGAGTATACGAGTGGGATGGCTGCAACCCAATGCCCCCAGAATTCTGGCTGCTTCCCAAATTGTCACCCATTCATCCAGGTTTAATAACTACTGTATAAGTAAAAAAGAATTGATTACATTCAAAAAAGGGTCGTTAACAAGTTTTAAGACCATCTTCAATTCCTAAAACAGGAAAAATGTTGTGTTATTGTCGGTTGGTATACATGCCCATGTCATATTTATATGGGAAGAGGTTTGTTGGACCAATTTCTGGATTGGTGCTATCACTAAGACAAGAGATTTATACTGAACCTTATCATGAAATAAATTGGAATAGAGCAAGGAACACCTGTGCAAAGGTTGGTAGACTTTGTACAATTTTTCATTGGTTTTCTTGGGTATAGATTTCAATGCATCCTATAATCCTTCAGGAGGATCTTTACTATCCACACCCTCTCGCGCAAGATATGCTTTGGGGATTCCTCCATCATTTTGCCGAGCCAGTTCTAACTCGATGGCCGTTTTCTAAACTGAGAGAGAAGGCTTTAAAAGTTGCAATGGAGCATGTTCATTACGAGGACATGAACAGCAGATACCTTTGCATTGGATGTGTAGAGAAGGTAATGATTCCATTAGGAAACTATGTTAAGAATAAGGAAAATGTTTGTTGTACATCATCATTTATATAATTTTTTACTGATTGATGAGGTGTCAAGAAGAAAATGAAGGTTATTATTATTATTATTATTTGGTTGATGAGATTTTAACCCAATCAAATATCACTGCATAATCTGTTGATAAACTAATTTGTAAGTTGTGATGTACATGTAAAGTAACCGTAAGATTAATTCAAAGCCTATATTACATAATGGAATAATAAGAACCTCATATTTTTGAAGGTGTTATGTCTTATTGCTTGCTGGGTGGAAGATCCTAATTCCGAAGCATACAAAAGGCATCTAGCTCGTATACCTGATTACTTCTGGGTTGCCGAAGATGGCTTGAAAATGCAGGTTATTTTCTTTCATCAAATATTTTTCTACAGTCCTGATAAATTATCTAAGAAACGGACATGCCATATTGCTTCAAATATGTAGGCAGTGAACCGAAACACATGGTATGCTACTAGCCATAATCTTGCAACAAGATTTAAACAGAAATTATGGAGAATTGGTTAATTATAATTACATTTGAGTTGCAGAAGGAATTGTTCTATTTCCAAACTTCACCTTCAACAAGCGTAGATTTATTTCAAAAAATTTCCCGATGTGTAAATCTAAAGTTAATTCTTTTATGCAGAGTTTTGGTTGTCAAATGTGGGATGCAGCTTTTGCTATTCAAGCCATATCATCATCCAATCTAGCTGAAGAGTACGGGCCAACCCTCATGAAAGCACACAATTTTGTGAAAGCCTCACAGGTTGATTTCAATTACTAAAGCAAGACAAGAATACTTATTTATCACATTTTTAGTGCTACCTTTCTTATATATACAAAGTCAGATTTCCATTTTCCCGTTTATTTATCTATATCTTTGATATTATAAGCTTTCAAATGATGGTAATTTTGTAGAAAGTTTATATTCTTACGTATCGAATTAAGTAAATTGCACGAAATAAGAATTTGAAACAAAAGTTAATTTAAGTAATGGACAGTTATGAGTACAAGTATTTTGTTGAAGGGTGTAGTAAATAATCTGGTGTTTTCTTGTGCCTCAAGGTCCAAGAAAATCCAACTGGAGATTTTAGTAAAATGTATCGGCACACTTCTAAAGGCTCCTGGACATTTTCTATGCAAGATCATGGTTGGCAAGTCTCGGACTGCACGGCCGAAGGACTTAAGGTAATTAAATATATATGTCCTCTCGATCAGATTTACACATAACAAAAACTGCTGGAAATCATTCTGTCTCAAATATTTATTTTCTTTTTTATGACAGGCCGCACTCTTATTCTCTCAAATGCCTACAGAACTAGTTGGAGCAGAAATTGAAACGGAGCGTTTATATGACGCTGTAAATGTCATTTTGTCCCTTCAGGTATAGATTTGCTTAAATCTAGTCTTGAAGTATTAATGTTATAAATTTGGATCGTAGGATAATGACGATAATAAAATAAATAAGAAGAAAATAAATACCAAAATTTACGTGGAAATCCAATAAGGGAAAAAACCACGGGGCAGAAGAGGAGAAATCAACTATAATCAATAGCAATTGTGTTTACAAGATTTCAATGCACTCAATTGAAATCCAAAACTTTCAAGATGTTGTATGATTCTTGTTAGTCGTACCAATATATATATATATATATGCGTAAAAAAAGAGCGACAGGTGGGAGGTAGGCGAGCGACAGGGCAGCGCCAGGCGAGCGACCAAGTCTCGAGTTGTTTTCTACCGGGCTCGCTCGAGCATCCAGCTAACGCAAGGCTAGCGAAAATGTGACGCAAGGCTAGCGAAAATGTGGCAACTTTTTCCTCCGGTCCATAATTTTGATCTCTTCAAGATTACTCCAATTTAGACTTCAATACCCACTAGAATTTGGGTCAATCCACAACAATTAACGCAAAGTGTATTCTTCTTATTACAATCAACCTCTTGAACTAAGCAAATTTTCGCTAGTAAAAATGTCTAATGTGGCTAATATAATATTTTTGAAACTTTAATATAGAGTGCTAGTGGCGGTTTTCCGGCATGGGAGCCTCAGAGAGCATATCGATGGTTGGAGGTAACTCGTTTAATTCTTTTTTGTTTTTCAGCCATAGACTGCCATTCTTCAAATCTTATAGTTTGTATACCATATTTCTAGATATAATAAAGAAGCTATTAATTTGTGTGTTTCAGAAGCTCAACCCTACAGAGTTTTTCGAAGATGTCCTTATAGAGCGAGAGTAAGAGTATATTATTTGCAAAATATGCATTATAGTTGTATTTATCATTTCTTATGCTCTACTAGACGATTGAAACAATGTTTAAACCAGTTATGTAGAGTGCACATCATCAGCAGTCCAAGGTTTAAAGCTCTTTAAGAAGTTACATCCAGGACACAGAAGAAAGGAAATAGAAAGTTGCATCTCAAGAGCAATACAATATATCGAAGCTACTCAAAATCCTGATGGTTCATGGTATGCTATTTGGCAAATGAAAAGTTATATTTCTGCAATAAAATAAACAACGGAAATTTAATTTGAAAATTCCTTTTTCTTTGTAGGGATGGTAGTTGGGGAATATGCTTTACGTATGGCACATGGTTTGCAGTAGAGGGCTTGGTAGCTTGTGGGAAAAATTATCGTAATTCTCCCACACTACAGAAAGCATGTGAATTTTTGCTTTCGAAGCAATTACCGGATGGCGGATGGGGTGAAAGTTACCTTTCAAGCTCGAACAAGGTTTTGACAATTTTTTTTCCTCTTAAATGATATGTAGGATATCTCTAAAAGAGCATTAAAAATGTTCTTGCATGTCACTTGATCTTCTCTTCTTGCCGTAGGTATATACTAATCTTCAAGGTAATCGGTCAAATTTGGTGCAAACCTCATGGGCTCTGTTGTCTCTCATCAAAGCTGGGCAGGTTGGTAATTGAATTTATTTTGTTGGAAATTAACTTTTGATACAAAGTTGACATCATAGGTTAACATACTAGTCTGTTACATTTAAAGTATTTTTCCCTCTTTCTGTCTGAAAGATTGAAGTTCATCGTTGGGTATCTTGCCAACAATTTGTAAATATTTCCATATCTCATTAGAGTTGTTGGGAATTTACATCTGTTTGACCCGCTTCTGTGCCCATGTTTTACGGAGAGACCGTGTCCCAAATCGATTCGAAAAAACTCCCAAGAGGGAAACGGAAAAAAATATCGAATAAAATGTTAAGGGATAGAACCTCACATCAAATAAAGATGTAAATATAAACTAACTTATAAAGGATTGGGTTACTCCTCTTAATAAGGTTGACATTTTAAGATGGAACCATAATTCTTAATATAGTATCAGAGCCCATTAAACTCTTACGAGCAATTTAATCTGATTAAAACTCCAAAAGTGAGCATACGGATTTCAAGATTGGTCTGTTCAAACGAGTCATCATTTTGCGGAGGCATGTTAAGGGATAGAATCTCATATCAAATAAAGATGTAAATATAAACTAACTTATAAAGGATTGGACTACTTCTCTTAATAAGATTGACCTTTTAAGATGGAATCTCAATTCTTTAACAGAGAATATAGATATTTGCATATTTTTACCAACAGCAGTTTAGCTTTATACTTTTCTGTGTTCGTGTAAGGATATAGATTACATATTTGTACTGAATATTATCCTCCTTGAGATCAGGTCGAGATTGATCCCGAGCCAATACATCGTGGAATAAAGCTGCTTGTAAATTCACAAATGGAAGACGGTGACTTTCCTCAACAGGTAAAATATTGTTATACCTTAAAAAAAATGTCCGGAATAAATAATCATAAAAAATTTACAAAAACAGAAGGCACATTGTGTAGTCTTTTTCTTGTCTAATCTAACTAATGGACTGTGGACTGCAGGAAATTACAGGAGCATTCATGAAGAATTGTACACTGAACTATTCATCGTACCGGAATATCTTCCCAATATGGGCTCTTGGTGAATATCGTCATCGGATTCTTCATGCACGAGCATAGTTGAATCGGTGGAAAAGCGGAAGATTATAAATGCGAAGTGCAAAGTTATACACAAATATTAATGTTAAAATTTGTATTCTCTATCTCTACATTGTGAAGTTCGTACAACTACTTTCTTCTGGTAAAGTGCAATGCTATAAGATATTATATTTGAAATAAATATGCAATATGCAATCTTAATGTGTAAAAAGTACTTTCTTAATGTTATCAAACATATCAAATGTAATATAAAGTTTAATAATTTTCATTAGTGTTGTTTGTTGTGATTGTTTGTTAGTGTGTCAATTTGCAAGGGTAAAGATATCAATTTTATTGATTTTGCCACAATACCCTTGATGTTAAGGAAAAGATCTCTTACGCGATGGCGGCTTATAGATTTCTTGAAAATCACATGTTTTATTCATTTAGCAATACTTGCTTGATGTGATGAAAAGATCTCCTACAGTAAGGTTGGTATTGATTTCTTGGAAAACATAAAGTTAGCATTGGACTTTTCTTCTTCTTCTTCTTCTTTTTCTTTTTTTCTTTTTTTTAGCAATCGGTTCGGCAAAAAAAATAAAAGCAGCTCTAAACTTTTTTCAACCCAAAAAAATGTGTGTGCCTAACTACCCTGTAAAAATGAAAAGAAAACACTTTTCCCCGAGCGCAACCCCTAGGTATGGTCCAAGCGCGACAGACGCCACTTATACACATGTTTGTAACATGAAACGACAATAATCCATGCTTATATTTGATTAGTTGGGTGAGAGAGGAAGCTCAGCTGGACGAGGGTTCAAGAATTGTGTGGGGAGTGTTAGACCATCTCATATAAGCTTAAAATCTTAAAGACAATTTATTTATTTAAATTTAGTTATTTACATGCTTTCTCTCAAGTACATGTAGTATCAGATTGCTTTTTTTGCTTTTATTAATATTATTGACACGAGGACCCCTGGGCCTTTAAGGGCGCATTCATTATTTAAATTTAGTCATCAGCACGCTATCTCAAGGACATGTTGTGTCTGATTATTTTTTCTTTCTTTTACGGGCTCATATCAGTTTGGTTTAGGGTTTTGATTTTCGAATCAACCCAACCTACACCCATCCCTAGGAATAATACTGTTGCAAGTTTAGAAAACTGAAGAAAAAAATGAATTTAATGCCTAAAACCAGTGCGTTATTGTCTTTCCAGAAAATGGACAATTAATATGCAACAAAAAGATAGAACAAGGAAAATCTAAGTCATAAAGGATTCAATAGAGGAAGAAGAAACACTCATATTGGAAAAAATATAAAAATAAGAATTGAAGCTCAAAAAATATCAATTATTCTACTAAAGTCGTAAGATTAACAAGGAGATGTTTTGTACCCATCGAATCCCAATAACTGATATGAACACAACATGATATTGTTTTGCCCATTCACTTGCATTTTTTCCGTAGGTTCACATTTTAACAATTTTTCATTATGTAGCGCATGTTTGGCAAAGCTTAAATAATAATTAAAGGTGATCAAACATATTTTTTATCCATGCACTTCGCACAACTCACAATTTACTATCCACTTTTATTTACACACTCTGTCGGAGTAATTAGGGCTCGTACAACTTATGAACACTTAAAATCATTACCAAACATAAATAAAATGGGTTAACTTGAAATTTACAAATTTTGATCACTGGCAATGTTAATAGTGACATTTATCCGATGATGATGTAACAAAAATTGAGAAAATTTAATTTGAAAAATGATGCATACTATATGGGAATCATTATTTTTGCAGTTTTAGAATTTTAGTATTATATAAAATTTTAGATTTCTTTTCCTTTGATGAAATTTTTTGCTTATTACTTATAACAGTTTTTCAATTAATATCTTATATTAGGACTTTTATTATGGTATTTTTGAAATTTCTTTATAGAATAGAATTCTATTGCATTGCATGAATAAGACCACTCGAGTATAGATCTATCAAAATGGAATTTAATAAAAATGAAAAATTGAGTAATCTTAATTATATGTTAAAATTATCAATTTTCTTTACGAATCAACGAGTGTTTATTTATGAGCGAATCAACAGAAACTAGAAGCTTGTTCGTAATTTTTGGATTCTCAAGCTTCTTTACTTAAAAATCGGAGTTCTTCTTCTCTTGTTAGGTGAAATTTTGGTGTTTGGCATGAGTATAATTACAGTATCAAAATAAACTTTTAACTTGACTAATATATATAGAGTTTAGTTTAATCTAAATAGTGCTTGTTGGATGTTTTGATACCCAATAAATCTTGGACGATGATACTAAATCGATGTTGAATAATTTACATTGACACTTTAGTGATGGCTCGACAAAATAATTTCGGGCCACTAGAAGCAACTTAATTGAGTTAATGTAGCTCGTGGTCCAACACTCGTGGATGACCCAATTTGTGGTTATTAGTTGAATGATGATATATGTTGGCCCATTTATAAGGGGAAATTACATAATTCAGGTGTTTGAAGATTGGAATTCAAAAATTAGGGACCAGGTTTCATTATTCAAAAATCAAGTAATATATTAAAATCGTAACCCTAATTTATCACTCTAAACTCCCTCTCTCTCCCCTCCCCTCCCCTCCCCTTCCCTCTCTCTGTAAATCTCCCCTCTACTCACGGTCAACCAATGCCTACCGTCGACCACCGCCCATCGTCGAAGACCACCACCCACATCAACAATCCATCGTCGAACTCACGACGACGATCAAGACAGAAGGGCAGCAGGTCGATCTGAAATTTTCTCCTCCAAGACCACCGTTTGGAGCACCTGTTGGGGTGGTGGATCTTTGCTGCTGTGACGTTGTCGTGCGACGCTTTCACAGCAGTGTCGCGACGGGTGCTATGGATGTGTGTGCTGTAGGTATGTGTACAGTAGCGGAGTGGAGTTGTAGTAGTGGTGGCGTCGCGACGGGTGGGGGCGTGGTGGCAGTGACGGTGACGGGTTTAAGGTTTTTTGTTGGGTGGTGGTTGCGGTGTGACGTGGTTTTTTTGTTGGGCGGTGCTGCAGGTGCAGTGGTGGCGACGACGTGGTGCAGATGTGGTGTGTGGTGGGTTCGAATCTGGTTGGTGGTGGTGATAGTGTGTGGTTGGATGCTGTGGTGGTGGGTTTGTTGGTGGCCGTGGTGGTATGGCGGGGCGGGGTGAGGGTGGTCAAAAGTGGTTGAAATGGTAGTGATAGTGGTACGTGACCAAGTATTTGGTTATCTGTGACCAAGTATTTAACTGTGACCTAAAAATTTGACAATATATGACTGAAAAATAATCTATGACCAACAAATTTGAAAATATGTGACTAATGAAATTAATTATAACCTATAATTTTTTGAATCTGTGACCTCAAAATCATCAGTGACTAATTAATTTGATAATATGTTACCAATTAATAAATTGTGACCTATAATTATGTATATGTGACCATTAATTGTATAATTGTGACCTAATTAATAAAAAAAATTAATTAATTGCCTAATACCTGAGTTTTGAATTGTTAAACTATCTACCTGACTTTTGAATTGGTGTAAACCATACACCTGAAATATGATTTTTTTTTCTCCATTTATAATCGGTCAATTGTCGTCTTTAAATGGCAGCCCATTTAGTGAACTATGGCCCGAGTAGAGTGACCTAACTAGTGTTATATATATACATCTCTTTCAGAGGGTGTGATGGCTGCCATTTGTATTCGCCCCTTTTGTGTCTATTCTTTCACTTTTTTTCTCTCGCCTTTGTGGCTTGCAAATCACTTGTGGGTGAGTAAACTTGTTGTAATCAAGTGGGTAAAGTTATGGATCAAGCTTCCTCGGTTGGTGTTTGCTTGGCTAATTAAATTGAGTCCAGATCAAGATTTCTAAAAGATTTCCACAATAGTGGTTCCTGAAGATTTTTTTAAACCGTATTTGGTTTTGCTAAAAATCAATTTTTTAGTAAATTTTGATAAATGTAGATTAAATATATGATTGAAAAGTTGATAAAAGTTGTAAGTTTCATTAAATTTTTTGACTTAAATTCTAATCAATTTTTTAGTTGAACCAAGCGAAAGTAAATAAAATACCCCTTCAATGTTTCCCATCCCACATATTCCTTTAAAAACAAATAAAAAAAATCGCGTTTCTAATGTCGTACATGGTCACATTTTCCGTTGTTGTCTTCTTCAATGAAAAAGCAAGAAGAATAATAATGTCCCCCCCATTAAGATGTATTCGAGGAGTTTTGAACTTTTATTCCCCATACATATACATATACATGACTTTTCATCTCTAGTATTTGGAGACAAAAGCATATGTAAATGACAAGGATTTTAGTAGTAGATTAATTCAATGTCTCAGAAATCAACTCGAACATTGATCCGAAAAAGATAAAGAATATGAGTTGAACTAATGATCCAAAAAATTCACTATATATTTATTTTTTCAAATGATGGACTGATTAATTCCAAGTTCACATGCAATTGGACATAATTTCAAATTGTTTCACAGTGAAGCTGACCGTACAGTCCGAAGATTGGTTGATGTTTTTGCACTTTGAACACAATATTTACAAAAACGATAAAACCTTTTCGTATGTAAAGCATTTTGTCCTTCTTGAATTAACCCACCTTTTTAATGTTGAGAATTAGAAATTACAATTATATATCATCGGGAGCAATAAAATCATAGAAAGAAAATAGACACGTATGATTTATAGCGGTTCATCTCAATATGAGAATACGTCTTCTACCACTACAATAATTAATGAGTAATAAAAAAAATGAATACCATATTTTTTTTCTAACCCGTCTTTTGATGATGATATTTTAAACCCTAATGACATCTCCTTATTTATATGAAAAATTAAGACAATCAAAATTGCAGGTATGAAATTATTAAATTATCCTTGATAAAATTTGATATGCATATTGCCTTCATATAAATGCAATAATTAGACTCCGCAACTTAACATTTAATAATGACGACCGTCCTATCAAAAAATGTAGCATCATCTATGAATGCGCC